TGGGGGCAACCAGGAGATGTTGATCAGTTGAGCACAACATTCTGCAAGGGACATATGGGGAGAGGCATCCCGAAGATATGCAGGTCCCTGTCTGCATAGGGCTTTGAAGGTTAACACCAAAACCTTGAGCTGGCTCTGGTACTCTATTTGTGTAATGACTTATACCTACATATGTTCAAGACCAATGAAGGGAGAAGAAATGAAAAGCTTTTTCAACTAAGAGCTATCTTGTATGTTTCAATTTTTTGACAAAATCTGAAAGTAGATATGATTGTAGCATGCCTCTCTCCTTAAATTGCATATAAAAACAGATCTGTGAGGGAGGTGGATCTTGTACAGTTGAGGGGTTCCAAACCCTGCTTCCCTTAGACTCACTTCTGCTAGTGAGAGAAGTCAGGGGGAAACCTGCCAAGAAGCAAGCTTTAGGAACCCTGACTATTCAGCAACCACCATCATGGTCACTCCATGGTCATTCAGCAACACCTCCATGGTCACTCCGTGGTCATTCAGCAATACCTCCATGGTCACCCATGCAATTGCCACTTCCAGGCTTGACTACTGTAATTCATTCTTTGCAGGTTTACCCAGTATTTGCGATCTGAACAGGCTGACCCAGAAATTACAGCTGGTGCAAAATGCAGCAGCGTGCCTGCTAACAGCCTGGGACCAACATATCTGAAGGACCGCCTCTTCCTGTATATGCCCCAAAGAGCGTTACGCTCTAAGGATTAACACTTCCTGGTAGTCCTTGCCCCAAAAGACGTCCGTCTTGCCTCAACCAGGGCCAGGGCTTTTTCCGCCTCGTCCCCTGCCTGGTGGAGCATGCTCCCCATTGAGATCAGGGCCCTGCAGGATTTACTTCAACTCCGCAGGGCCTGCAAGACAGAGCTGTTCCGCTAGGCCTTTGGCTGAGGCAACTGACGTCCATATATGGCCTCCCTGAGGTGGTTGTCACTCTGTTAACAGCTACTGGCTATTGCCAGGAACCTCCCACAACCAGGGGATTTTTTTTTGTTATTAGCTGTGGTCACCATTTTAATATTTATGAAGATGCTTTAAATTTTAATGTTATTAACAAAAATTTTGTAGAAATGATGTTGTTACCCGCCCTGAGCCCACTTCTGGGAAGGGTGGGCTATAAATATGAAGGAATAAATAAAATAAATGGCTGCCTCTTACTAGGATTACCAACTGTCTGGGGGGGGGGTTAGAATGTCGTGTCCCTTTAATATTGTTTACCAACTTCTTGTTTCCACACATTAAGCTTCTGTTAAAGAGACAAAGGCATTTTCTCCAGGCCTGTTGGCAGCCTCATCTCTCACATGCTTCTTTGAAAATCCGACCTCTTATCTGTATACATGTTTGCAGAGTTGTGCTTAAAGAGACTGCTGCACTCAAGGTTTGTTTGCCCACAAGGTTAGGGTTTTAAAAAATTAAAAAGATCAGGGAAAGCTGCTTGTTAGAATAGTTTTCTGACATGGTGAAGCAAACTTGTGCCATGGCACTGGAAAACTCATACTTAATCTTGTGTGTTAAAACTGTGTGAGTTAAAAGTGTTAACAAGCACTCTGGAAATCAACTCGCACATTAAATACGGCATTGTGTAACTGGTAATTCTTGTTTCACTGGTTTGGGTGCTTTTCTATTTTGATTAGTCTTGATGTTCACATTTACAACTCAGTATCAGTATTATTGTCTTTTTTTAAAAAAAAACAACAACAACCAACACTTACGCTTCTCTGAAAATAATGTCACATGGCACTAATCTGTACAGATATGTAGTGTGGTTGAGGATCAGTATTGTGCCACCTTGTCTCTGGGATGTCTTTTTCAGCAATGGACTTTTTGCATCAGCTGGATCTTTAGACACCTTGCAGAATATTACCCATCACCCAAAAGACACTGAAGCAAATTAAACAATTTGCTATACCTGTCTTCGGCCATGTAACAGATAAACAGTGAAGGATTTTCCAAACTGTAACTGATTCTCTCTTATAAGTCGTCCTCCCACTCAAAGGCATTTTCCTTATTTAATCAGATAATTTATTCCCAACTGTGGCTGATAATATTTCATCTTTGGAGAAAATCACCATAATTATTATAAAGGGGATGGGTGTTTTGTTTTTCCTTTTCAGGCACAGTGACTAAAGCTCTTTTTTCTCACGTAGGCCTCGGTCACACGGGAGGTTTTGGCCCGGAAGAGGGACGGATCGGGGGCGCAGCAAACGGGCGCGATCCCACCGCAACATCTGGGAATCGGCGTGCACCCGTTCCCGATCCGTCCCTTCAGAACGAAAATGCGGTGCAAAAAAGAACCTACTAACTGGTAGGACTTACCTGAAGCACCGCAGCAAGCACGGCCGTGAGATCGCCGGTGCGCTCGTCTGCAGGAGCAATCGAGGCTCCCGGCCGAACTGCGCACGTGCAAAAATGTGCAGCTCGGCTGCCTCGCTCTCCTTTCAGTGGCTCCCCCCCCCCGGCATCTGATCATGCCGGGGAGGAACTGTGCGGCGGCTCAGGGGATCTGTGTGATCCCGCCGCTGCGTGTTTCTTTTGGCCGTACTTTTTCCCCCGTGTGGCAGGGGCCCAAGTTTCCATAATGGAATGAAATAACATCCTTTGGATAACAACTAATCTGTGGATGTTTTGGAGACATGAAGAAAAAGTATTGGTAGAAAGTATGAAATCTGTACTAATGGGATGAAATCTTCACTTATTTAGTTAGTTGGCTCCGCCCCAAGTGTAGTTAGGTTCTTTTAATTCTCTGGGCTATCCCTGGGTTTTATATGTTTACTGATTGTGACTATGTACTTGTCATATTTTATGTCAATTTTATGTACCTATTTTACCCCTTTTGCATTCTCTGTTGGTCAAGACTTCAGTCATATAGACCCATAATAAATTGAAAATTGAAAAACATTTGTTTGCCACCTTTCTGCCCAGTCAACCCTGAAAAAGTGCATATAGATAAAATCAGCAATAAAAAAACAAGCAAGGAAGGATCAGAAAAGGTATCCTGGACGGAAAGGAAAAGTCTTCGTGTACTGTCAGAAGTGATCCAGGGAGTTGGCTGTTACAGCCATGTCGTTTGATTAAAAGGTTATGGGATTTCAGTGACTTTTGTCTTTTGGATGATCTCGATGTTTTCTTCTGCACATCTGGTTCTTAATGTGGTTGTGCCTTTAGCACTTCTGCCCGGTGGGAAGTTTCTACTTTGCTTTATCCTTTATTCAAAATGGCTATTCTGTGGACAGGTATCTTCTGCAGACATGTGGGTAGGAATAGAGAAGTGGCAAGTGCCTAGTTGCCTAGATGTTCAATGTTTGGTGCCTTAATACTTACCAAAATATTTTTAAACATTAGGAGGGTCACGCCACACAGCAAAATGATCGGAATGCTATATTAGTGAATACAGAGGTAATTGCTTCAAATCCCTAAGTCCTGAATTTCCACAAAACTTAAAAATTATCACTGGATAAGAAGAAGAAGAGAAGAAGAGATTCGATTTATACCCCACCCTTCACTACCCGAAGGAGTCTCAGAGTGGCTTACAAACTCCTTTCCCTTCCCCTCCCCACAACAGACACCTTGTGAAGTAGGTGGGCCTGAGAGAGCTCTGACAGAAACTGCTCTCTTTCAAGAACACCTCTGACAGAACTATGGCTTGCCCAAGGTCATCCAGCAGGTGCAAGTGGAGGAGTGGGGAATCAAACCCGGTTCTCCCAGATGAGAGTCCACGCACTTAACCACTACACCAAAGGGCAGTCTCTGCATTTTTTGTACATTCTTTCAAGACTACGTGCGTCAGAGTTTAATGCAGGCCTCTATATCATGTCATGTATCTATCCAAAGAAGTGAGATTATGACTCATATTGAAATAAAATGTTAGTCTTTAAAGGTGCAACTGGACTCTGTGATGGGACAGGGAAATTTAGTGGAAGGTGTATTTTCCTCCAGTTGCTTTCTCAGCTCAGCTTGTGGTCTGTGTGTATGTTAATTTATCCTGAGCTTGAATTGGGCCTCTACCCAGTAGGAAGTGGCTGAAGGACCAGTGCGAACCTCTTTTTAATGAGAAATCTTAATGTGTATTTCTGACACAGGCTGCGTAGGCATGCTTTGTTTCCCCCAGCATGCTTATTCCCAGATCCAGCACAAGATGAACTGTCTGGTCTATGAATTGGAGGTGGGGGAGAGAAGAGTATGAAGCTAGGGGGGGTTGTTTTTTGCGTGTTTTAAAAAGCCTGTTTGTGAATCCAGTTACCACTGCATTTACTCCAATCATGAATTTGCTTGTACGTTTTGAGGAATGAATAGGAGAAGGCAGAAGAAAGACAGTTGGGGGTGGGTACTGAAAGAGGAAAGGCTTCTTAAAATAAATATTTTTAAATTTGTACCTATGAGTAGATGACAGGTCCTTACAAATGTACAGTAAGTTCTGAATCATGCAAAATAGTAAGTGGAATTGTGAAATGTATGTTCTAAAAAGAAGCTCTTAAAAACTATAACTCTGCTGCAGTTGAATAATTGTACTTACTGATCCGGTTGTAGTATAATGGGGACTTTTGCTTTTGTGTACAAAGTGTTCACATGTTGTATTTTAGGGGGGGGGGCATTGCTTGAAACTTACTTTGGAAATGGTGCGTAGTCTACTGCAGATGACAGGCAGATCCTGTGCAGCATAGACCTAATCAAACATCTTAGAATCGTTCTAACCTAGCCCTGTGCAAATCTTCCCTGTCCAGTGATTTGTGAGTTGATAAAACCCAGGATGCTTGCAGGTACTTATATACATTCCCAGTTGTTGGAGCTATTTATACTGGTCAAATTCTTAAAGCTGAGCAGCGAGTTCCCTGTTAGGCTGAGAACGGAGTCACAGGGTATAAGCTGAGTAACTGGTGAATTAGATGTCTGCCCTCAGGGCTGTAGTCAGCAGCCTGTGACAATACTAAGAGGGGAGAGAAAAATGAATGTAATGCATGCCTTGCCTCAATTTTTTCCAGATACTGGTCAGAAGAAGACCCTAGACAAGAAAGATGGGAGGCGAATGTCTTTTCAAAAGCCTAAAGGGACTATTGAATACACAGTAAGTTATTGTTTTGCTATGTACTATACAAGAGTAGTGTTTAAAATGCAAAAGCTTTAACAGTGTTCTGAAAACTAAGAAAAAGAATCAGCCATATTACCTTTTGTTTGTTCAGTCTGTAGCTCTAGGCAGCAGCCCATCACCTTAAATGGATTGGTAGGAATACTGTTTTGAGTTTTCTTTTCAGGAAGGATATCAAATAATGCTGAAAAGGTAGAGTTAAGCTTTCCAGTATTCCTGTGGGTGTTATGCAAGCTGTAAATAAAACTGTAAGTCAGTAGAACATTCCTTTTGAGGCATCGATCATTTTACTTCCGGAAGCAAAAACAGATTTTCAGAATACCCCTGCTACCTGTAAAGCTTTCAGCATTGTTGATGGTCCACTGAATGCAGGTGAACATGATGTTAGTAATGCCTTTAAAAACATTCTTGTCCTCTTCTGATAATTTCTGTTGATTTATTGCAACTTCAGAGCATAGCTCTGTTTTTCCCAGCACTATCTGAAAATGGAGCCTTTCTATAACTGTTACGTTCTTCAAATGACCCTCAAACAGTGCTGCAGTCAGCGTTTTGTGTTTCTGGTTACTAGGGGAAACTGAAGTGACAAATGTTTTGTTTCATATCATCTACATAACTAGGACTCTGAGTATATAAATTTAGATTGGTAGGACTATAAATCAGTTATTGTGATTTTTGAAATGTGTTGAAATAAAACCCGTACTCTGGACTTAGTATATAGCAGTATATCTGGCATTTAACCTATGTACATAATAGATGTTTTTGTAAATGTCTAACATTTACTGCTTTCCACTTTGATGCTGTGCTGCCAGCTTGCTTTCATTGGCTGGAGTTCCAGAAAACTGACCAGTGCAACTGTGAAATGCAATTACTAGAGAAAATAAAATGATGCAAATTCAGACTATCACATTTTTACATTGACCAGAACAGTTTTGAATAATTAGTAGTATGCAGCTTTTCTTCAGGGAGTCTTTATTTAATATAGTCTGTGTTCTGTCTTTATGAATAGATATGTGTAAAATAACAGAAGTAACGTGGTTTAGAATTACTATACTTTGCTGTAGCTAGCATACTTGAACTATGTTTGGTAAATCAGTGGGGGGTGGTATATATTTCAGTGAACCATGCCCTTTTAATATTATGTTCAATTAGACAATATTGTGTCACCTGATCTTTTATTACACCAATTTGAATAGTTGTGCAGAATTTGCAGCATTTAATATATACATGTACAATTTTATTTATGTTTTATTATGTGCATGAACAAGCTCTGTGTAAGTCTGCTGAAGAATACTTAATATGGTGCTAAATACAGGTTGAATAGTAATTTAGATCCTCAGATCGTATTAATTTCATGATTGCCAACTTAATGAGTGCAATGTATATGTTCCAGCCTATAACAATATAATAAAAATGTTCTTTTTCTGTAGACTTGTCAAAAGCTTCTGTCAAAAAGCATCAGTAATGCACATTGTTGCAAAATATTTACTTCCCCTATTTTTCTTGTCCCCTCCCACACACAGTAAAAAAAATTGTATTTCTCACAACAAACTTGTAAAATAGGTTAGACCAGAGTTCTCCAATGTAGTGCCCATTAAACACCACCCCTCACCAAGTGTTTTTAGGAAGTTGATGGGGCCAAATGGGGCTTTTGCCTAGAAGGGCTTCTGATTGGCTGTGCAGATATGTAAAATTGCTTTGAAAGCAGCTGTCACCACAGCACAAGTGTCTCCACTGTGTGACTGAAGGTAAGCTGTGTGTATGCCAGAAAATGTTTTTTTAAAAATATGCTCATTGTAAATCTTGTTAAGCAGAATTTCTGCCTGAAATGTTGATGATTTACTGTAGAGTTATGACTAACCTCAAACTGTGACATTTTTGGTTGGCTCCACCTCTTGCGGCAGCCATTTTGTGGTTGCACCAGTCACCTGTGTTAGAATTCCAAAGGTGCCCTCAGGCTCAAAAAGTCTGGGAATCCTTAGGTTAGACTGAAAGAGAATAGCTTGTTCAAGGTTACCCAGTAAACTTGATGACAGAGCAGGAATTTGAGCTCAAATATCTCCAGTCCTCATGTGTCCTGTTTAAATAGGCTTCCTTTATTCTTAAGAAATTAATATAAATTTCAAAGTATAAGAATTATTAAAATATCTCTCTCCTCCCAGCCACTGTACTTGCTTTTCAAACAGAAGGACTGTCTACTAAGTAGAATATCTTCTGAAGAAGTACTCCTTGATGTTTTATCTGGTAAATAATGGAAGTGTTCAACATTGTTGTTCCAAGCCTATGCTTGGAAAGTTCTGTTGAGGGAGGGTTTGAGTTCCTGAAATTTTCTTAACAAAATATAATTCCAGGTGTCCCCCCCACCCCGACTCCCCGAGTAATAATTTATTAATTAGTACTGGGAGATTTTGGTGGCATATTTTGTTGTTCAGCTCCGAAAATAGAGAGAATGTAATTTCTTACGATAAGCGTTATGATTAGCGATCACTAAATCAGATCATCCAGTTAGTCACATTTAATTATCAACAAAGAAGCATTCATGTTCTGATTTGGAAATGCTGTCAGTGTTCATGCTTGTAATCTATCATATTTCTTGCTTTTTCTTTTGCTTTGAAGCTCCATTTGCCTTAATTAAATCGTAATCCAGTAGATCTGGTACTTGAAGAACCTCCAAAAACAATTGTGCGTGCAATGTGTGGATACATATGGGTGGACATGAGACTTTCAATTAAGGTTGCTGTGTTCCGGGAAAAAGCTGTAAATGGAAAGCAGCAGCAACTTCTGAATGTTATTAGCTGATAAAGACTTAGGGTCTGCATCAGAAGAAAAAATGGCAGCCCTTCTTCCATTCTGGCGTTGACTCCAGTGCCTCATTCTTGTCATTTGAAAGTTCTTGGCCTGTGCTGCCATCCTATAGTGATTTGGAAAGATATGGTCACTAATCAAATTTGAACAAAAAGTTGGCAAACTGTATCTCTTTAGGCCAAGAAAGGTCCTGCAGAATTTAAAATATCTTTGAGACTATTTCCATGTGTGCTTTTGATCAATATTCCAGGGGATCAAAAAGCCGCCCTGAGCCTACGGGGAGGGCGGGTTAAAAATCTAAATAATAAATAAATAAATAAAATAAATATTGTCTTTATCCGGCAAGTTGGACATGTAGATGATGGTGGGTGTAAGGTCTGACCTGGGAATTAAAAGTGTGATCCATTCTGGATGGGGTTACATTCTCTTTGAAGAAACAGGTCCGTAGTGTGGGGGTGCTCTTGGTCCCAGGCCTTCTGCTCAAAGGGCAGGTGGCAACTGGGTCCAAGAGTGGCTTTCACCAGCTTTGACTGGTTACCCAGCTGCAATCTTCCTGGATGCATTTGATTTCCTGTATGTGGCTATACACACCATCGGGCAGTGATTTATCCTGACCTGGCATATAGAGAAATATGGTCCACTAAGATAAGCCATCTGGATAGTTATCGTCAATGGTCCTAATTAACAACAAAGAGAGATACATAGTCTATGTAAAAATTACCATAGAGTTTTTCTCAAACTCTAGAGCATCCCCCCATGCGACGTGCCCTGTACGATGATGTCACCTCTGGGAGATGTCATTGTGCCAGGCATGTTGGTATGGATGGGGCTTTTTGGGGGCGGGGCTCCTTGAATCCTAGTGAACCCCCACCCCTATTGGGGGAATGGCAACCCTAGCACCAAAGCTCTGGAACTTTCTCCCCTGGAACATTCATCTGTCCCCTTCTGTTGCTGTATTTCACCAGTGGGTGAAGACTTGTTGTTTTGTTTGGTATTCTCTGAATAATCCCTCATTCCTAACCAATGTCTTTATGTTTTGTATGTATTTTAATTCTGTTTTTTAACTCTTTTTAAACTTGTTTTAATGATGCATATTTTATATATTTTTATTATAATGGTTTCATAATGTGAGTGTGTTTCTTTTAAATTATTAGCCACCTTGGCGGCCCTCATAAGGGCAGAAAGGCAGGATATAAATTTTGTAAGTAAATAATATATAGAGACACTATGAATAAATATATAGAGTCAAATACAGAAGAACAACCTTGAGCTTCAGGCTATCTGTTGACTGCTTCAATGAAATACTTCTAAAACATATTCCTAGCACTGAATGTTATTTGTAGTTTTTAGAACACCATAATACACTATAGTGACCGCCTGGCCTATGTGATGTGGTGCCTGCCAGCAGGACTATTAGTTTGTCATTCCTTTTCAGGAATTTGCTCAAAATAGCAAATGAGCAATGCAAAGGCAAACGAGCATTGCAAAGGCAAATCACAGAAATGTTACATGTGTCGAAGCCAAGGTAGTCTGGCTGTTAGGCTTGCCAGAATCAGTTTAGGAAGTCTCTAAAAGACATTCTGGCCAGGAAAAATGAGGGGCTGTTGTTGATTCATTTATAGACTGTTTGAAATTTGGTATGCATTTTGTTGTCTACATGTAAAATAGTGAATAAAAAGGGGGGAACTGCACACTCCAAAACCCTGCGCTACCTCAGCATTGGCTATTCCATCTCAGACACAGAAAACACTTGAAAACATAAAACTCACATTTTCATAGTAAATGAAAGTATTATCTGGACAGAAACAATTTCATGGAGTTGAAGTAGGACTAAAAGCCAATTAGTTACAACGTTTGTGTATAAAATGGTCATACTTAGTACTAGAAGAAGAAGAGATTGGATTTATACCCTGCCCTTCACTCCTTCATAAATAAATATCCCCCACTAGAGGTGTGCAATTTTTTTCTCAGTGTTTTCCAGTTTGGATCTATTGGACCACATTTTTTTCCAAGATTCCCTAAAAATCCTGGATCCCAATACTAGTAAAATATTTGGATCTAGAATTTTTCAGGAATCCTGAATTTTTTCAGGTCCAATAGACCCAAGAAGAAGAAAAAGTTGAGGGGGGGAAAGGCAGTGGCAAAGCTGCAAAAAACAGGTGTTTTCGGGCTTTCTTCTGCGGTCCCTTTAAACAGGGCACATTTAAAAGGACTGTAGACAGCCTGGAAAACAGCTGAGTTGGCAGGGAGCAGTCTGCCTCCACATCACAACCCGGTTATTCTTTGATGGTCTCCCATCCAAATACTAGCCAGGGCCGACCCTGCTTAGCTTCCGAGATATGATGAGATCAGGCTATCCTGGTCTAATGATGCAGACTGTGTAAGTTATGTAAAACTTTTTCACGCAACATGTTTTGAATGAATAAAGCCCCTTGTCTAGGAAAGCATTGCAATCATGGTCCAAATAAAGTACTTCGTAGGAGATTCCTCTCCCCCTCGCTGGGAAAAAACTCTTTTTTGAAAACAAACTTTTCATTGCTCATTGCTGTTTATGACTCTGGCTGCAAAACAGTAAAGATAATAAATAAATATTTGTCACTCTTGTAATACCACTACTTTCTGCATGTTTCTCAGAAAAACAACTTGAAAAATAATATATATATATAAAACAGGATTTTAAAAGTGCATAGATGGCCTTCTCTTCTGCAACTGAAAGCCCATATTTCACATAGAATCACATTTTTACTTGATCATGTACTTAAAATTTAATTATGATGATGTCATTGGACAAATTAAGGCTGGGATTAGCGTTTTTATGGGGAAATAATTTTTTCCAGAATTCCCTTTTTTAGATACAGCTATTGTTTCCTCGTTTTTCTCTTTTTCTCTTCTGAGAATTTCTTTTAGATTTCTCTTTCTGGTTTTCTGTTATATCTCTATGCGCACTTTTGTAACTTCAGCACTTGCAATGGCTTTCTTTTATGTCACCACAGGGTGGTCTAGAAAGAGAGTAGGAAGGTTTGGAAACACATTGCCTGCCTCTGAGCATCTGCAGAATGAAACTCTGAAATTTTGCAGAACTTCGCTTCTTGCCCATCTTCTCTGAGTTTCTCTTTTGATCAAAAGACTTGATGGTCCTAAAAGCAAGAAAAGAAATGGATTGTTGGATTTCAGGGAGAAATTGGGTTAAGAGGAACTAAGAGAATTCCTGTTAACACTGTTTGGCATATATTAGCAGATATTTTGCCAAAGCATTGCATTATTTATTTATTTATTTGATTTTTACCACACACACACACACCCAGCGGGGTATCTATGCTGTTTATTTCTGATGCATGCTCTTTGTAGCATAAATGGATACATAATTCTGCTAGGTTGTTGTAGTGCTAGAGAGCAGGATGACCTACATATGTACATTTCATGCAGAAGGAATTTTGGATGACATTTCTAAGGCACCATGGTAAACCCAGTATCTGAGATTTGTTGAGCCCTGACATAAGACAAACTGATGTCAGCACACCGTTGTACAAGAACAGGCTGCACCGCTGTACAAGAATGAAGGCCTTTCTGACTGCCTGAGCTATGCTAACTGAATTGTGATTGTAAAGCAAAACAGTCCAGTTACCTTCAGCATAAAATATTTTCTGTTCTCTGTTCCTATATATATAAGAGTGAATATACTGTAAGCAATACAGACAAAAATATAAGCAGCAAAACTGTAGCACAGACATATTCTTAATAGTGGTACAGCTAAAATTAACTTGTTCATTCAGGGAGAACTCAAATGAGTTGGTTAAACACTGTAGAGATTTACAGCTTTCTGCTTAAGGAATTGGGGGGAAATTATCCTTGATAAATTGATTCAAGAAAGCAGTTGCTGTTGTTCCCTTGGTATTTATTATTTGCACTCATCCTTCCTCTGAGGAGCTCTGGGGCCTTTTGCACTGTGTCCTTGCAACAGCTTCTAAAAGGTAAATTGGAATAAGAGGGAGTGGTTGCCAAAGGCCACCTGACTTTATTCTGTAGCATTCTGTTGGCCCCTGTGGGTCATTTATTTGTACCAAAAGTTTATCTTCCATGTGTCACTTCATATTATGCATTATTAAAATGCTGGCTGGAGTGATGCTTAATGTAAGCAAAATGTTAAGGGCATCAGTGAGTCAGCAGGTAATCTGAAAGTTTTGGCAGCTGTTTGGCAGACAGGTTTTGACCTAAAGTCTTTCGTATAATTTATCAAGTCCTTCCAACAATCTGTGGAAGTGCATCAAAGCATAAGGCAAAATAATTTTCCCTAACTTCCATTTGCAATTTTAATTTAGGTATTTTCATTTTTAAATATAATGTGAAAGCTGCAGCAATTGAAGCACTCCTAACTGATCTCCTGTATTCAAAATTTCACTTTTTGCAGAATAAAATACATTCAGTGTTTGTTCTTTCTATACTTGGAGAGTGGTAATTAAAGAGGTGTGGCATTGGGCTAAATTTGTGGAATCATTCCTGTTCCATAAATCTGAATTAGAGCTGTATTTACGCAGCTGTAAGTTCACTGGAAAAAGTAGTTAGTTTTCAATAATTGATTCCTTCTTTAAGGAGACACAGGGTTCAAGAGACCTACATGATGTCTGTTAGATGTGAAGGAGAATTATTTTTCATGGCAACCTTTCTTCCACAATAGGTTGCACCCAAGCCCTATTTTTCTACCTGTGGGATTTTTTGACTGTTAATAACATATTTTCAGCTTATTACAATCAGAATTCTCCAGTACTGTACTCTAAATATATGGTGTCTTATGTCGTATTTTATGTACTGAAATCATTGGAAAAACTTATGATTTTAGGAACTTTGCCTTTTAAAAAAACTTTGTAACAAACAAAATGTATTCTAGGCTACCATTACTTTGAATTTTATAGGGACTATAATGTATTCATATCTATGCTATTATAAACAATATATATCCTCTCTTTACAGGTTGAATCGAGAGATTCTCTGAACAGCATTGCTCTGAAATTCGATACAACACCTAATGAATTGGTCCAGTTAAACAAGCTATTCTCCAGAGCAGTTGTTCCAGGACAGGTATTATCTATCCAGTAACTTATAGGGTAATGGATGAAATAGCTTTATTTAAATGTTTTTGAGAAAGAAGTTAATTTTCCTTCATCTCGTATTTATAAAAGCTTTTCCTGTTCAGTAGAAGCCTGTGTTAACAGGGGACGAAGAGTTGGGTAAAATGTTAGGCAGTGCAACAAATCTTGTATCACAAGGCTTCCTCTGCACCTGAATGCACCACTGTTATTCCTGATTTTTCCTGCTGGAATCTTACTTGGGAGAGTGGCTGACATCAGAAAGTGGCAAAAAAGGAAATGGGGTGGAACTGTGAATTACTAGCTGTATATCCTCTTACAAATGGTACTTCAGAATTTGTCAGGAGAGTGTGAAAAGGTGCTTAAGCCTTGAAAGCTTTGTCTGCCTTTGTGAGTGTGTCATGCGCCATCAGGTCCATTCCAGTTTATGGCGACCCTATGAATTAACGTTCTCCAAAATGTCCTGTCCTCCAAAACATCCTGTCATTAACAGCCTTGCAAACTGAGGGCCATGGCTTCCTTTATAGAGTCAATCCATTTCATGTTAGTTCTTCCTCTTCGCCTGCTGCCTTCAACTTTTCCTAACAGGGTTGGCTTTTCCAGTGTCTCTTGTCTTCTCAGAATGTGACCAATGTGACCAAAGTACAATAGCCTCAGTTTGGTCATTTTATGTTTGAGGGAGAGTCCAGGCTTGTTTTGACCTAGAACCCAGTTACTTCTCTTTTTGGTGGTCCACAGTATCTGTAAAACTCTCCTCCAACACCATATTTCAAAAGAATCAACTTTCTTCCTGTCAGTCCTTAAGAGACCAGTGTTAGCAGACTTTAGCATGTGGGTCTAACTCTGTCTGATCATGTCCTCCTCTGTCTGATCATGTCCTGATTTCATCCAAGCATTTAGTATCAGCTATTCTTCCTCCAGTAGCATGCACACTAAGGAATCTTCTAGTATGCAAAGTATATTTGTTTATTAAAATATGTATATCCCATTCTTCTCCTGATTATCAGGACTCAAGGCACCTGATTCAGCGCCTTTAATTGACAGCATGTTGTCATAGCAGAGGCTTTTTTCCTTTTGCGAGATGGGTATTGGTTCCAAAGAACTAGCAGAAGCAAAATAACTGCTACAGTGGTTCTTTATTTTTTTAAAAAATATTTTAAATATATTTGTTTTAAGATGCTTTTTCATATCTGAAATGTTTTAATGTTTGCCACCTTGGGGGCCCTGAATTAGATGGAAAGGCGGCATTGAAATGGTTGTAAATAAATAAATGCCACACAAGAGTTTGTGTAACAGCTTACTCAGTGCTTTAGCGGATAGATTCTGTGCTGATTCTGATACTTCCCCTTGTGTAAGAAGTTTGGGAAACAAAAGAACTTAATAGCTTTTGCTGTGTAATGCTCTAGGGTGACATGTAAAATAAACCTTTGTTGAACAGAAGGCGCTTTCCATATGTGGATGGGCACCTTTGAATTCAACCCCCAGGTTGTACCATTCATTCTGCAGGTGGGAGAGCCAAACTTTTGAGTGCTTCGGTCACAAGGAATCTCTATGCAGAAAACCAGTATAGCTGGGAGAGATTCTAGCCTCTCTTCTTTTCCCCCTCTCATGGTTCTAGCTTTCTCCAAGGAGAGAAGTTGTCTTTTTTTTAAGATGGAAGAACATTCACATATATTATTTCCCTTGCCAGTGAAATGAAGTGGCACTAGATGCAATAAATTCTTATTTATAATGCTCCTCAAACTGCCTTAAGCCAAGAGGAAAGATGGTGTATAAATATTTTGATAAGTAAAAATGTGTGTTCTATCAGCTACCTGTGCTAAGAAAAACAAAGCTCGCTTGCTGGCTTACAATCTAAAAAGTGACTTTTCCCTAGCTCTCTGATTATTCCTTGTAGGCTTGGTTTCAAATTATGGCTGTGCAACAAATAGCAAGGGTAGCATTTGTCTCTAAAGGGTATTTGGAGGAACATGCCTGACCTGCAGTGCTACCTGATGTACTGAGGGCTGGAGTACATGGCGTTGTTTCTACTCCAGGGACAACTCTCTTAAGTTTTGTAGAGCTTTCCAGAATTTTTCTTTCTGCTTCCTACAGAGCTCAGGTAGCTGTGTCCTCTATGTTGGGCAGAGGTTCTCTGGAAAAGAAAAGAGAGAGACCTGCTGCTGAAATAACTTGCAAACAAATGGTTCAAGATTTTGGATGCTAATTCTTTTAGAGAGGAGTCTGTTCTCCTATTCATTCTCATTTTTAATCATTCCTTTCCCACAGTGAATGGTGCAGGATTTGAAGTCATTAACAACTTAAGGTTGTTATTGAAGAGCAGTAACGGTGTGTGAACACTGACATGAAAGTAGGGTTGTCCTAATGGAAGTTATACTTTCTCTGCCTCTTCCCCATTTAGAAGGCTAACAATGACTCTGGTATACTTAGAAAACTTATTTATGAAGCAATCCTAAACTATGGCACCCTTCTATGTATTGTGTCAGCTTATACTGTTTTCTAGAAATTGTTTATTTTGTTTTGCGAATAATAATTTGTAAGACACAGTTACTGAACAGCAGTTCAAACTGTTGTCAGCAAAGGCTATGTATTATAAGTCCCAAAGTAGTATCCTGGCCATTAAAATGTGCCCTCAGTTTAGAGCAAATATATGACTCATGTTCTTGTTTACAGTATCCAGAAAACTTTTCCGCAAGCAAACCTAGAAGCATCAAACTTTAGGTCAGATTCATACTAGCCCAGTTGGGAGCCTGTACAATAAATGACTTAAAGAATATATGTGGCAAGTAGATACAAGTTCACAGTCACACTCTGCAACTATAGCTTGTAAAACAGTTTTGATCACGATTGTGCAAAATTATTTGTAACTGTCAATCTGTGAAAGCATCCTTGTTAGCAAGCAGTGTGCTTCTGTTTTAATTAATCACTAACATCTGGACTTTTGTGATTACTGTTGAACATTTCAGCAGTAGTATTTGTGGGCTTTTTTCTTTTTCATTTTAAATAGATCTTATATGTTCCTGATCCAGATTATGTTTCCAGTGTGGAGAGTTCTCCTTCTCTTAGTCCTATAAGTCCTTTATCACCTACATCTTCAGAAGCAGAAGTTGAGAAAACAGCCATAAGTGTAAGTAGATTTATGGATGGATGGTTTGCTGGAATGACTGAATTCCAACTCTCCAACAGCACTCCTGTGAGATGGCTAAAAGGCACTGTGTGTACTCCACTGATCTAATTAGTGCTAAAGTGCCATGTCCTCAAGACCTCAGGCAGATTGCTTGAAGCAACAGGATGAAAAGGCCTTTGTGTAGAGAGTCTCCGTGTGTTAATACCGTTAATATATTTTGATCGTTGTATATTCCTGTAGGAGGCATTTAAGCACAAGGGCTTCCTCTTGTACTGTTTAGGGAGATTGTCTTAGTTATATCACAGGGTATATTCCAAGTTCGGCACACTACTGAATTTTAGAAGTGTGCTAGAATGGGTGGTGTGTAGTGTTTCTTTTTCTCTCCAGAAGGTGGACATATTTAAGACTAGATGTCTTCGGTTCTTGTTGTGTGTTTGCACAAATTATAGCTGTTTAGTCTCTCTTTTCAAATGTTCCAGTCGTTCATCCAAAGGCCTCATTTAAGTTTTTCTAGAAGTTGAATTCCACAGGCATTAACTGCAGATGAGGAAGGTTTAGTGCAAATCGAGTCTTAACAGTAGTGCATATTTTAATGGCAAATATACTTCAAATAAATGGGGTGTTACTATATGCCTTGCAGGGCAGTTTAATTTCAGAATGAAGAAAGATGCCTTTATTTTATAGCCATTAGTCTCAATTTTGTAATCTTGTTCAGCTTTGTAATTATTTTTTCTCACTCTAATAACTTAGCACCCTACCCTCCCCACTTTTCAGTTTCTCTGCTGCCATTGGGGCTAAAAACATTTTAAAAAATGAAAGCTGTAATCCCTAAACTCTGGGCAGGAATCTTCGATATGTCTTTGAGCTACACATGAACATAGAGGTTATTTATCTTCTGGCAGAGGTTCTACTTGCAGCCAAAGAGCCACCTACTTCATATACCGGTTCCTTCCCTCTTTTTCTAGTCAGCTGTTTTCAGTGACCAGTAAGATTGTCTAGCAGTGACAGGAAGTATTTGTGGAGTTTGAAAATTTAATAGGACATCCCTGACCTGGATAGCCCAGGCAAGCCCGATCTCATCAGATCTTGGAAGCTAAACAAGGTTGAGCCTGGCAAGTACCTGGATGGGAGACCTGCTTGGAATACCAGCAGGCGGGAGGTGGGGGCAGGCTTTATTTAGCCACCTCTCTGAATATTCTCCAGGCCCCCAGTTGGGGTCAGTCACCAGAGGTCACCATGACTTCCAGGTGCACACACACTCACATGCACATATATAAAAAGAAAAGAGAATTAAGTAAGACAAAAGGAATCCCAGGAGCCATTTTTTGGTTTAAACGTGATGCTGTGTATGCACACAAATCTCACTCATGCAGATCTACGTGGCCAGCATCACATTTAAATCTGGTTTCTAGCCTGTCTGTATGTACTGTTAGCATGCTAAGAATCAGTTTGGTTTTTTTGTAATAGCCAGTTTGTTGAAGTACATTTGTCTCCAGTTCTAAATCCAGATAACTTAAGTTACCTGGACTTGAAATAGTTTCTACCAGCTGGAAATCATACCCTTAACTTGCAGTACTGGCTATTCTCCTTCATCTTGTATTTAGTAATGTTAGAATTTTACTAGGTCACTGGGAAACCTGCTAGTTGAACAATTTGAACATTAAGTATACAGTCAAATATCAATTGCTTGGTTTCTAGGATCAAGATGGGCCACATGGGAAGGAAGCAACAGCCACGCCAGGTCACACATGTGTTCGGCCTGCTAGAGTGGTGTCGTCCACATCAGAAGAAGAAGAAGCCTTCACAGAAAAATTTCTCAAAATTAACAGCAAATACATAACCAATGGCAAGGTACAGAAGATCTTACCTCCTGTGCAAAACCAGTATTCAAATAGCAACATTGTTTGAAGATTTATAATTTATTTAAAACTAATTTTAAGTTTTATATTTTGCCTGTCAGCTGCATTTACAAGCACAGCTTGGATGCAATTCTAACCCCCTTTGCTGTCATAGTGTAATTGTGCTTTTTGGTAAAATGGAAGTATTTGTGTCTAGTTGCATCTTTGAAATGCTTGAAGGAGAGTGTGCATGGAACAAGAGCTCACACTGTGCCTCTTCCATTGTTTCATTTGTATCCCACCTTCCCTTCCAATGAACTTCCATTGTCATTGTTTGCTCCTCTCCCATGGTTAATATTTGTAGATTCAGCTGTGTTCTATCTCTTACAATATGGTGGCTAGGACTGACCCAGTCCAGGCACTGAAACACAATGTTCTAGGCAACCAACTCGTCCATTAGGGAATAGATCATCCTCCAAAGCTGCTTTCTTTGATGATATAAGTCTGCTCCTAAGTGTCTTTTTCTGTAAATCCTCTTCAGTCTTTCTTACACAAAAGAAGAGGCATGCATCAGTATTTCCAAGTTTACTGGAAGCTTTTAGCTCATGGGCAACTGACCTTGTATTTTTCTGTCTTGCCCAGTGCAGGTGAACTTAGTCAATGAATTCCATGAACTTTAAAACAAAACATGCTACAATTGCTGTTCAAGTCAAAGAGTCAAAGGATGTAATTATTCCCCCTAGATTGAAACAAAATCATTCTCTCCTTCTGTTTGACCACAAACAGAAGTGATCAAATCAACATATAGCATCTTGAGTCTTGGTGCAGGAAAACAACCAACTCTTTAAGACATAGTTAAACGGTTTCCATTTCCATTTTATTTAATATCAAGGAGCCTGCCCCTGCTCACAGCACTCACAATATATAATGGTAATTTGAATACAGAATGAACTGTCTCCTGACAGAAGAGTTGTTGCAATACCTGATGGAGCAAGACAGAGAATCTTTTTGTAGACTATAGCCACAATTAGATTTATAACCAATGTCATACTCCATCTTGTTCCTCAGTGGTGACCATCATTCTCCTGACCTCCATTTTACCCTCACAACAAGGTAGGTCTGGATGAGAATGTGACTGGCCCAAGGCCACCCAGCAGACTTCCATGCATAGTGAGGATTTGCACACAGGTCCTTTAGATCCTACTCTGACATTCTAATCACTGCACCACACTGGCTGTGATCACTCTCAGAAGCCTTAAACACGCTTTTAAAAAAAAGATGGGATATTTTACATTCGCCCTGTCTCTGCTGCCACCCTCTTCCTGGCTCCTAGTCAGTGAATTGTACCTTCCATTGCAAGTTGCAGAGGGGTTGACTTCATACGTACCCTGCCTTCCTCCCCATGGATTGACTTCATACATATCCCGCCTCCCTCACCTAAAGCACCTTATATCATTGTCTTCGCCTCTATTTTATTTTCACAGCAACAGCCCTGTGAGGTGGGTTAGGCTGAGTATCTGAAGATCACTGTGCAAGCTTCTGTGGCAAAGTGAGAATTTGAACCTGGTTCTCCTAGGTCCTAGCCAGACATTCTAACCACTATACCACACATAATCTGATAATCAGGGAAGTTGTTAAACCTAATTTGTTTTGTAACATGGGTAATATTTTTCTGCCCTCCTCCTCTGTGCTACCTCCACCGTTCTAATAAACCTGAAACCTTTATTAAAACCTATTTAACAGTGGTGCAGCACTGCAGCTAAACCAGAAGAATCACACAGAGCACTGACCCAAGAAATCCAAAACAAAACCTGCTGCTAAAAGGCACAAGAACAGAAAAAGGCAACAGACAGAGAGCCTACATAGGCCTCAAGCAAACATAAACTGAAAGTGCAAAGGCAACAGAACCACAAAGGACAAACCAGAACCAAAAGCAGAAAAGAGCAGAGAATTTACTAGGCCCCACGCAGAAAGTAACCCCCCCCCCAAGAAACCAAGATACAATACAGGAACTTAAAAATTAAACTGCAAAAAGGCAAGCAACAGAAGAACCACAAAACAGAAGAACACCAGAAGCAGCCTAGAAAAAACAAGCTTGGCCAATAACACTGAAGCACAGAAAAAATATATATAAACTACAGGAATAAAAAACAACACACAACCTGGCTGGCAAAAACACAAACTAGTAGAATAGAAGAACCCTCCCCCCACCCAAAGAAAACCAGAAAGAAAGAGGCCCCCTGGGCTGGCCTACAGGCCTACCCGCCACCCCTCCAACCTCAGGCCCCCCACCAACCTGTGAACCGCCCTGAGCCTTTGGGAGGGCGGTATAGAAATCCAACGAATAAATAAATAATAAATAAATAAAATAACCAACACCAACCCAGAAGGAATAAAGAAAAAAGAATTAAATTTAAAAGTGCCCTAAAAGAAATCAAACCACTCCGATGTCTTGATCTGAGGTTCATGCAAGCAGGAGCAGGGAGGAAAGCAGGGCAGGCTCAAGGAGCAGGGGCAGCAACAGAAGCCAGCCACACACAGTCTCCAAGCCAAGCCAGGCAGCTCTCTCTCACCAGCAGCAGCAACAGGATCCAGGAACAGCAGCAATGGAGACAGCCAGGCAGAGACTCTTTTTATGCTTTCTGGGCATACACAGAAGGCTTTCAAAAAGGAACAACCTTCTGTGATTGGCCTGAGAGCAGATGCCAAAAACCCTGTTGGCCACCAGTGCTCCTTTCCTGGGAAAGGAGCAAGCTTGTTTGGGCTGCCAGCAGCAACAACAGAGTTCCCTCTTTCTGTCTCCCTCCTGAAAACAGGAGCAAAAGGTGGGAAACAGGGGGAAACCGGCAAAACGCCATTTCCTGGCCCCTTTAATCCCCCCGAGTCTGTTTTTTGGCAATGCGGGGAAAAAAAATTTGGGGGGGGGGGGGGCGTCGGATATCCGAAAAGGCTCAGGAAAGCCTTTTTAGTATCCGGAAAACTGAAAAAAAACAAAAAGACTTTTTTTCAGGGGGGGGGTTGGGCTCGGGATTTCCAAATGCACACCCCTAGTTCTGACTTCTCATGAGTAAATCTTTGCTTTCATTACAAATATATTATGGAGCTAACCTAGGCCAATAAGTTCTGATTCTCTTCATTTTTGGCCCTGCAACTCTCATGAGCATCTTGAATCCAGAGGCCAATTTTGAGCTTTCTAGCTTCATTTTCTGATGAGTTATGCCTGCTATAGACAGATGAATCCTTTATTATTATAGATGATGCCATCATCTTTCTCTTGGTTGTTCATTTCTTTAATAACCTTGATGCACCTAGTTTTCTGAGAACTTACAGCAGTTGCAGCTATTGTGTTGGGGGATTTTTGTCTTAATTCAGTGCTTCATGCTTGCCTTTTAATCAACGTGTTGACGTTCCTTTGGAGGTTATTTTGATTATGACACAAAAGAAAGAGAGGAAAGGGTTAGTGGTTTTCAAACTTTATACCTTTAGGTAGAGATGTAAAATTTCCGGAAATTTTGAAGCTCGGAAAAAAACCCGGTTTTTTTTCTGGGAAAAAAACGGAAATTTTCGGAAAAATTGAAAAAAATGCTACATTAGCATTTCTTTTGTCTTTTTTAGATTGAAAGTCATTCTGTTACTTTAGGAACATAAAATATGACTATGGACATTTTTACTTGGCATGAAATTATCACAACTAGCATATTAAAAATATAGTGTATCCAAACAATTATTACAAACAGAATACCCATCCACATGCAAAAACAAAACTGAAACCTTTTTATTTTCTTCTGACAATAGAACCTCCTAAAGAAAGAAATGCATCTTGTTCTTGCATTGGAGAGTTCAGTTTGTAACCTAGGACTTGCTTGTCCTCAGTGCACAGAAATTAGAAATGATTTGGAAAATATTTGAACACCTTGTCTTAAAATATTTTATTCATCATGTTAAAATAAAACGTTCCATAGTCAATTTATTTTATTTATTCAATTTTTCCAATTTTTTCGGAAAAAAACAAAAAAGGCTTCAGGAAAAAAACGGAAAAAAACTGTTTTTTTTCTGAATTTTTCCGGTTTTTTTCCGGGCCTTCACATCTCTACCTTTAGGGAATGCTTTTATATTAATTTTTCTGTTCAGGAGACCCTACAGCTTGGGGGGGGGGGGCTAAGCATGTCAAAGAAGATTTTGTCTGTGTTCTAGGACATTCTTTTAGTTCATGCAAGGTGTCTTTGCTCCATGTGAACAAAGAATGTGGTCTAGAAAACAACCAATATTTTCTGATGGCTGTACAATGCAGGGGTTGATTGATAGTGGCATTTTTCTTTTTCACGGAAGATTGTTCACTGTTAATCATCTTTTCTTTTCATAGGGCGGATGAATCTAAAAGGAAGTTTATATCTTTGCAACATTGCCTATTTGTAGAAAGAGGTGCATTTTTCCAGACACATTTTCATTATTTTGGAAAGGTTACAAATGTGTGAATGTTAACTGTGTCTGAAAAGCTAAGCCTTGGCCCATATATTGCATACATCGTGTCATAGGCCCAAAAACAAATTGGAAGTGGTCAGTCTTTAACCTATGGCCCGTCACTTTATTTCTTTGTCTAATCTACCATGTAGATTGAAAATGATAATGGTAAAATATGCATATTCATGGGGGGAAGAATTGGATACAGATTTGTTGATGTTTAAAAAGATTTTTAACACCATAGTAAGAAATGTCTGTTATTATACTACCAAATTAAAGCATCTATATGTGAACCAGTTTGGTGTAGTGGTTAAGTGCGCGGACTCTAATCTGGGAGAACCGGGTTTGATTCCCCACTTCTCCACTTGCACCTGGCTGGATGGCCTTGGGCAAGTCGTAGCTCTGATAAGAGCTGTTCTTGAAAAAAGAGCAGTTTCTGTCAGAGCTCTCTCAGCCCCACCTGCCTCACAGGGTCTCTGTTGTGGGGAGGGGAAGGGAAAGGAGTTTGTAAGCTGCTCCGAGACTCCTTTGGGTAGTGAAGGGTGGGGTATAAATCAAATCTCTTTTCTTCTATATCTATTTTAGAATCTCTGATTTTCTTTCATGGTGGAAACATAAGAACAATGTTGATTAGGGGCAGAAGCTTTTATTCATTTGTATTGGAATAGCCACATTAAATAACTTTTGTTACTCATTACCTCCTTAAGCTGTCATGCTTACAGTCACAGTTGCTCGAGGGGGAACTTTCAATGAATAAAGATAATAGTGATGTTTTTTGTAAGTGAATTTTTGTAAGTGGAATTGAGAAGATAAGTGGTAAAGTTTGGAACACAAACTGCCACTGATTTTCTAGAAAGTTCTAAAAGTTTCTATTATTCTTTAAATGGAAAAACCCACAAATATAAAAGTTCCTTTTAAAAATACTCTTAAAGGGTATGTGTGTGTGAATCAATACTCTGCCTGAAAAGTACATTCCTTGACCGCAACCTGACCACAGCTCAGTGTTCAATGGACTATTTCAGTATAGTTTGCTCTGGCCACTGTCATAACCTTTTTATTTTTCCTTCTTATAGAATTTTTTTAATTTGGGGACTACATCCATCTGTGGGTTTATAAGAAGTCTGCTTTTCTATGCTATATTAACATAAAAGAAAACAAATGGCTTTTGTGATGAGCCTTTCATTCTCCTCTGAGCTAATGGAGATGGTACCTTTGAAATATCCTTTTTCTGCAAGGTCCCCCCCCCCCAGCTTGATTTAAGAACTGTTGCCTAGATAGAAAAAATGCATTACCTCTTTCTAAAGCTTACAGGTTTCCAGAGAAGGGCAAGTTTGATGTAGTGGTTAAGAGTGGTGGACTCTAATCTGGAGAACTGGGTTTGATTCCCCAGTTCTCCACATAAAGCCAGTTGGGTGACCTTGCATCAGTCACAGCTCTCTCAGACCTCTCTCAGCCTCACCTACCTCACAGGGTGTCTGTTGTGGGGAGAGGAAGGGAAGGTGATTGCAAGCCGCTCTGAGACTCCTTCAGGTAGTGAGGGGTGGGGTATAAAATGAACTCTTCTTCTCCCTTCCTACCAACCTGCAAACAGCAAAAGGTAAAAACAAAGTCTGCTTGTATGTAAATGTCATACTCCCCAGTAGTAATAGTGGAAAACAAGAATGGTGGACTTGTTAGATAACCTTGAGCATACATAGACATTATACTATCTCTGGTTCTGTTAGAAATTGCTTGAAAAGAATGGATTTGTCTGGAAATCCAGCCTTTTATCTTTCTTCTCACCTTAGGGAACAGTCAGTGGAGTGTTGCTAGTGACGCCAAGCAATATAATGTTTGATCCACATAAAGCGGATCCATTGGTTCAAGCAAATGGCTGTGAAGACTATGGAATCATGTGTCCAACGGAGGAAGTGATGTCTGCTGCTATGTATAAAGAAATCATAGATGGAAAAATAAAGGATTCCTTACCCATGTAAGCTAGTTTAGTATTTATAACAATTGGGTGGCATTGCTGTTGATTATTATGGTGTTACATGCAGTTCTAATTTTGCTTCATTCCCAAGACACAGACTTGTACAGTATTTGCTCAAATGCAAGACTGCATTTTTTCACACGTCTGCCATTCAAAAAGAGGGGTCATCTTTCATTCGCATATGAGTTACAGTTATAGCCAATAATGATTTTTGTTTGTGTATAACATTTTTAAGGGGATCATCTTACCTACAGGATTTTCTTCCTTTCAAGTAAATACGGTACACCATGGGCTGCTGCCTCTTCTTCATGTTATGTGAATTTCCATCCTTGAACTTTTAGCAGCACTGCCTTCTCTCTCCTTGCGTCATTCATGAGTTTTTAAGGTTAACACTTGATACAGTTAGCTAAATTTGCTTTATGTTCTAAAGCATACAAGTGCAACTTTTGCTGCACGTCTCACTTTGTTTATTTTCCTAAGTATCTAATACATCATTTTTAGGAAAAAATACTGAGCTCACTTTTTCTTACATAAGGTAGGTTTCAAAGGGCTTTTTGTGGTCAGACTCTTGTTTTTGTATTTGTTTCTGCCACCACTTTGTATTAGGTGTACATAAAGTATTTGAAGAGACTGAGACACACACACGCACCAGTTTCAGGTCTTGAAGTATATTTCTACTCCATTCTCAAGATCCTATCAACATAGCTGTTACTTTTGTTTCTCCTTCCAATAGAATAATTTTTTTTAAAAATTCTACCGTGGGTAATTTTTTTATTTGAGTTTTTTTGCTTAGTGGGCTGCCCTCACACGTCAAGCTTTGTCATTAGGAAAGGCATCTTGATAGCAGTAATGGTGTAATATTAAAACCAAATAATACCAATTACCTTTCACTTGGCATTCCAAGAATGTGCAGGTTTTCAATTCATGATAAGGTGTAGCATCAGTATCAATAAATATCTGAAGGAGTATTGAAGCTCACCAACCAAATACGGGGGAGGGCGGGGTATAAATTGAATAAATAAATAAATAAAGAAAATAAATACTGGCTTCAGTGCTTGCTGAGCAAGATAATTCAAGTACAGCAGACTGATTTCGTGGCAGTATGGAATCCTTTGGATGTACATACTTGTCTTGCAATATAGGACTGCTGTATTCTACCTAGTAGCTCATTCATAAGCCACCAAAGTATGTGGAATTTAGTAGTGCATGACTGGTGGTGGGATGGTGCCACAGAAATGTTAATGACAAAAGCAAATGTATGCTGGATCTTGTGCTGGAAAACCACGTTGCTTTATTATGAACAATGGAATAAATTTGTCATGATGACTGAAACCTTGATTAAAACCTTCAAGAAACTTAATTTCTTGAAATCTTGTCAGCAGTTTTGAAGTTCACTGAAAGCTTTTGAAAGACAAACCTTAAATCAAGACAAAAAATTGCAGTGTGATAAATAGATGCTCAGAGTAAAAACCACAAGAGTAAGAAGGATGATTCCCTAGTGGGACAAAGCTGGAGGAATTTGCTCATCTCTAGAAACAGAATGAAATGTGTTAGATGTTTCTGAAAGTAGCAAAACTAGCTTTTTGAACTTTAATCTGTAGCCTGTATACTGGCTTCTCTTCAGTTTTGCATGTTCGAAAGAATAAAGTAAATGTCTTTAAAACAACTTTATGATTTTTTTCATATATCAGGACCATCCCCAAACTTCATGTCTTCACTCCTTTCCATAATCTAAATTGCATCAGCTTGCAATATTTTACTTGAACACATTATAGACTTGTATTCAGCTTTTTAATACGTTGTTTTGATAAAATGCCCACCCTGCAGCCAGTTTTAAAGTTGTAATTTGATTTGATTTGTTTGACTTATTTCCTGCCTTCCCTCGCAAGCAGGTTCAGGGCAGGTCACAGCATTTCAGTCAACAACATAATAACAGTAAAGCTTTAGGGTTTAAATAGAACAAACAAATAAAACAAAATTGACATTAAAAGATAACATTCAAGGTTTCAGTCCAGTCAACTAAATGGCAGCTACTCAATGCAGATTCATAGTGCCTCTTGCGGTGATTCTCCGTTGGTCTTTGTGAGCAGGGCAAATGGTAACAAGCGCTGTAAGCACTGCAGCAGTGTGAGCAGGGAAGGCCAAGATGGTGGGATGACTGCCACCTCAACCCACAGGCCTGGCGGAACAGCTCTGTTTTATGGGCCCTGTGGAATTGTAATAAATCCTTCCGGGCCCTGATTTCAACTGGGAGCATGTTCCACCAGGCCGGGGTCAGGGCAGAGAAAGTCCTGGCCGTGGCTGAGGCTAAGTGGCCATCTTGCGGGCCAGGGACTGCCAAGAGATGTTGCTCTGCAGAGCATAAAGCTCTCCAGGAGGCATACGTGGAGTGACAGTCCTGTAGATATGTTGGTCCCTGGCTGCAGCTCACTTGGTGCTGGCCTGTGTATGTTCCTATCAGCAGTTGCTTTCTTCATTGGAAAAAAATTAGTGCTGGCTTCATTACATTTTGTCCAGATGTATGCATCTGTATAGCCATGTTAATGTACAACAACAAGAACTGGAGACGATGGTTAGTGTAAATTATCCATTCATTTGCCTAAAGCAAGAGCAAACTAATTTTGTGGGAGAATTGAGGGACAGGCCCAAGCATGGAAGCCTCATCGCGTGTAACTAAAAGATGTTCAATGAAAAGTCTCTGTGTGTGTTTGCTTTATTTTAAGGTTTGTAACAGAAAACTTTTCTTTGCTTTAACAGCGACACAGATCAGTTATCTGTAAAAGATTTCTGTCATTTAAAAAAGATTACAAGAAGCAATACTGATGAAATGGACTCAAGGATGCTAGATACAGGGAATGATAGTGCCAGCACAGCTCCAAGGAGCACCGAGGAGTCTCTTTCGGAGGACGTGTTCACCGAATCGGAACTCTCTCCAATAAGGGAAGAACTTGTTTCTTCTGATGAGCTTCGACAAGACAAATCTTCTGGAGCCTCATCGGAATCTGTCCAGACAGTAAACCAGTCTGGTGCTGAACATGTAGCAGTAATTTCAGACTCGACTAGCGTTCCTGGCGATACAAACTGCAGTGCAGAACTTCCTGTGAACACTGACAGCAAGTCTGTTAGTGATAATGTGGGTTCAGAAGCAGCCAGAAGAGCACTAGAAGAGGTACCAGGTTCTGTAGGAGGGAAGGCTGCTGACACTCAAGAAGCACAACACTGCATAGATCAGGAATCTGTAATAGAAAATGTGCCAGGAGGCGAGGAATGTTTGCGTTTTGAAGAACAGGACTCTAAAAGAGAGGTTGTAAATAAGGGGAAACTTGTGAAAGAGTCCACTCAAGATTCTGAGACGGATATTGAGGAGCTACGGAAACTTTGGAAGAGCCATACTATGCAACAAACCAAGCAACAAAGGGATAACATGCACCAAGATGCGCACAAAGAAATGAAACACAAAGTAGCAACAGCCGATGGAACAATAGAAGGTAAACTAGTTAGAAGATAGATAATTGTAAATATTTTCATCTTAAAACAATCTATGGTAGGATGTGTTGTTGCCTTGTGGCATTCTTCATCTTATAATTACCTGAGGTGTGGCTAGCTGAATTCTGACCATCTGCATGTTAATATGATGTAACAAATCTCTCCCTTATATATAATTGAGTAAGACGCAGTGTCAGACGCATCGGAGAGAAAATGCGCACCAACAGTGTTTGGAGGCTTGAACTGTCCGTCAGAAGCTTCCCCAGCTTCCATTGGCCGTGTCGCCTAAGTCCCTCCTCAGAACACAAAGGCTGTAGCCCTGCCTCTGCACCCGGTCTCCTCAGACGTCAGACTACTGCTGACAACCACCTGGTGGGTGAGTGGAACTGGGGAGCACTTGAAGAACGGTGGCGGCAATAAGCCGCTCGCCGCCGCTCGCCTCCCCCCCACCCCGCCCAACTAGCCACGGCTGGAGGGAATCAGTGGAAGGCCGCCAGCGGCAGCTCATCACCGTTTGCCGCGGCCAGATTCCCCCCTTTATCGCACGCCTGTTTCCCCCCCTCCCCCG